TGGAAAGCAACAGGCGAGCTTTAAAAAGCTCCCCAGGTGATCATGATAAACAGCTCAGCCAGGAATCTCTGGTCTAGCTCAGGGGCCCAATGTGTCCAAGAAATTACTCTTCGGAGGGACCTTTCCTGCTTATAAGGCCCCCTTACCTCAACCCCATGCACCCTCATCTTCTGATTGCTTCTTATGAAACCCCACTCAATATTTACTTTCTACAGAAAGACTTCCCTTATTACTTCCATCCAACGGAGAGCTCATTTTCTCTGTTTTCCTTCCTCGAAACAACACTGGACTGGTGTCATAAGAGCCCTTGCTTCAGTGGTGGTTCTGCCTACCAGCTGGATGACCTTGAGCAGGTCACACCTCCAGCCTCCGTTTCCAGATCATAAGAATAAGGATAGTGTCTGCCTCCCGGGGTCACTGAGGATTTAAATGAGACCGCGTATATGAAATTGCTGAGAAGTTATTGAGTATTACCCAGCTCTAAGATAGCAACTGAAGCACAGGCAGAAATTTAAGCACAAGTAGAAATTTAAAATGACGAAAATAATATATTAGATAGTCAACTCTATAGGATAGTTTGATAGTAATGTGTGAGGGGGGGGGAAATCGGGGATTTTCAGATTTCCAAGAGTTTGTATTCCCAAAAAAGCTCATTTGATTTTGGGTAGTATTAAAAGAAACCGTGTCAAAACTAGTGGATCACCTCACTCCACTGAGGTCTATTCAGTAGCATGTCCAGAACTGAGCAACACATTTTATAAAGGACATTCACTCGAGGAATCAAAGGGTAATTACTTGGTTAATCAGAAAAATTAACCAAAATATCTTGGAAACTTAAAACCTAATAAAAATAAAATAACACATTCAATGCCAAGCACTGTTCTGGAGAAGGAGCCTCAGATGATGAAGGGAACTTGCCAAGGCCAATAGGCGAGAGGGAGCTTAAATCCAGGTTTTCCTGACCCCAAAGTGCCTGCCTTTCTCGCTGACGCCTGAGAAGCAACTAAGAGAAGGCAGGTTCCGCTGTATGGAAGATGCAGTCTCTGCAGCTCCGCAAGGAAGAACATGAATCACGGGCAAAGAGGCAGGGGGTTACATCTTAAAGGGTCAGGGCTGTTTAAAACGGAACCAACTGCCTCAGCAACTAATCACTTCCCAGTCTCCAGGAAAGGCAAACTAGAAGACAGAAAATGCCCATCTGAGGACACTGAGGAAGTCACACATCTGATAAGGGCTGCACCGGTAACGGCCAGACCCCTTCCAACCTGAGATGCCTGGGGTTTTAGGGACATGGCTCCTCCTGCTAATCAGAAAAGTGCAAGAAAATCTCTGGTCCTGGTCTGAGACTTTCAGGGTGAAACTGTAGCTATTCACTAACAAGTATTCCATCTTCATTAAGTCACTTGATATCTATCCCATTTCTTCACTGGGAAAATAGTATTTCAACTGCTCACCAAATATGGATTGATTACCTACGATAAGCCAGGATATATAAGGAGCTGGGGGTGCAGCTGGGGCTTCCATTCTAGTGGGGAAAAAGAGTTAATAACCAAGTAAACAAATAAACAACCAAGGTGATTTCAGAATGTGGCAAATGGTTTTTACAAACAGATATGGGGTATAAGAGGAAGCCTAAGGAGGGATTTGAGAGGGGTTAGAAGAGTCTCTTGGGTCAGCGATGCTCAGCTGAGACTTGAATGAGAGGAGTGGCCATACAAAGGCCCACTGGAAGGGCATTCTAGAAACAGGAACTGCTGATGCAAAGGCCCTGAGGAGCGGAAGAAACCTTAGCATGTCAAGCCAGTGCGGGGCTAGAGCAGTGGTTTGCAAATTTAAGCATGTATTAGAATCACATGGAGAGCTTTCTCAAGCCTGAATTGCTGTCTGCCCTCCCCACAGTTTCAGAATCAGTAGGTTTGGGATGGAACCCAAGAGTCTGTATTTCTAACAATCCCAGGTGATACTGGTGCTGATGGTTCACTTTGAGAACCACTGGACCAGATTATCGTGAACTGTGGGGGGTGAGTGACGGAAGATGATGTTGAAGAGGTCAGCAGAAACCAGACCACAAAAAGTTTTTTAGGCCACAGATAGGAGTCTGAATTTATTCTAAGAGTTTTTGAAGCCATCAGAGGGCTTTAAGTGAGAGAGTGGAATGATCTGTTTCCGTTTTCAGGTGATCATTCTGGCGCTGTGCCTACCACTGAAGGCAGATGGGTGTTAGGTTAAGGAGATAAAGTGCACGGCAGAGTTAAGAAAGCATAAAGTACCGTGGCAAACATGCAGGGTTTCCATCAGGCTGGCACCTCGGTGAAAATGGAGCTGTTTCCTCTTTCATTCGAATACAAGTCATGCATCTACTTAATAAATAGATGTCCCCAGTGCTGTGCTAGGAAATGGTTCACAGCCAGCTCTAGGGATGGGAGGGGGTGTGGAGCAGGGGGGTTGGAGGTTAGGAAAGGCTCTGAGTTGCTGCACTTGCCAATTTCTGTGGCAGACACACTCCACCAGGACCAGTTTCTACCAACATGAAGACACTGAGCATGGGTTTGGCAAGAGATGCTAATAATCAGCTCTTGCAGGCCAACTCAAGCACATGCCTAGATACACTCCCAGCACATATGCTCACCTGGCAGACAGATCAGATCCTACTTGAGAAAACTTTCTCTCTGCCTGGCTACATTTAGTACAAGGCTCTGGCACAGGAAACACTAGCTCAGTGTGGCTGGCTGGGCCTGGTCCAAGAGAATCCGGGTGGCTGGTTAGATTGCAGGACTCCTCTGAATCCCCTGCAGATGGCAGATGGGTAAACAGAAATATTAGTGTCTGGTTAATGAATAACACAGGCAGCAGCCATAGAGCCACCACCAGGAACCCGGGCTGGAGGGATCTGGTTCAGCCTGACCCAGGAAAGGGGAACCTGCATTGACTATCTCATTTCCTCTTTTGTCGCCCCCCTTCCTCAGAAATTCTCATCTGACCACACAGAGCTCATGTGTAGTGTGGTTTTGTGGTGATCAGTGTGGTCAGAGAAGGCAGAGGTGGGCCAGCCTGGAGAGGGTGGGAAGGAAACACGCAGCCAGGATTCCACG